CCAGCTGTGGACTCACATTTGTATCAGTGTTGATAGCTTATGAATTCCAAAATTGACAGAATTTACAGAAAAATGAGGATAATCCATCTTCCTTAGTGGCCTGTCAAAACCTGGCCATACTTCATAATCTTCAATTACCGCTGCTATTTTCAGACATTTACATGTCGGCATTAGAGAGAAATGAAAATGAGAAAAGAAAGGGAGGGAACCGAAAATGCAGCTGTTTATGTGCAGAGAATAACAGGTGAAATAAAGAGAAAGGAACACATCCGCCCTTAAGCCTTCAGAGGGAAAACAAAAGACTTCTTTCTGCATCGTTACCTCTCCACCCTGCAATATATTTGTGCATTCTTTTTATTTTAAACCAGTTACTTTCTTGATGACCCTGGCAATGCAGAAATAAATATCCCAGATTATTACCCTGAGATCCTGACATAGGGATTATATAGACATTCAGAGAGTGGGCAGTGTGGTGTAAGGGTGCAGCAGTAAATCACTCGTCTCACACACATCAAGAAACAAAGATTGGTATAAATTGCAAAGGCCAGGGTCAGACTGCAGTCACCTGTGTGATGAGTGGGTTGGTTCTAAACTGGCTGCTGTGGGTTAGGGGGGGACTGGTGACGGGTGGGGGGGGGGAAGACAGGCCATGCTTTGGGACGAACATTCACTGACAATTGAGCGTCAATCTGATATCTGTGCTAATCAGGGAATGGAAACCTCTGGTGAACTGAGAGCCCCAGCAAAAGCTGGTGTTTCTATCTGGAGGAGAGCAATGAGTCTTTATTTTCCTTTCTGCGGCTCTTCTCATAGACATACGCACAGAACAGGGTAATTACTTCCACCCCTTTCCGGATTAAATCAAAAATATTTAATCCCGAAAGGTATAGGATTTAGCTCTCAGCCTGGCTCAGCTCGCGTCTCAGTCAGAAAGTTCTGAGCCCCAAATTAATAGCTGCTACCGACCTCCCAGATGGCTCCCTGCTGGACTCACAGCCTAGGATGACACTCCAGTGTAGTGCTGGGGATGCACTGCAATGTTTGAGGTGCTGCCATTTGAAGAAGACATTAAACTTGTGTTAAAGAACGGGGATTACATTGCTCTGCTCGGAACACCATTCCAAGAACAACAAGAACAACAACTCACATTTATATAGCACTCGCTTCACACAGGTAGGGTCTTGGAGCACTTAACAGCCAGACGCTGAGCCAGAAAGGAAGGGGAGGTGACCAAAGGCACAGCCGAAGAGGAAAGTCTTCAAGTGTGATTTGAAGAATGGTAAAGAGGGGTCAAGACGGAGTAATTGAGGCAGGGAGTTCCACAGATTTGGGGTACAGTGGCTGAAAGTATGGCCTCCAACGGTGGGCGGAGGGGATGGCGGGTAGTGGAGTGGAAGGTGAACAGATTGGAGAAGTAGGGGGGGCCAGGTTGTGAAGCGATTTCAAAGGGTGAGTGAGGATCTTGAAATTGATCCATTCTGCAACAGGGCGCCAGTTGAGCCTGGCAAGGACTGGTGTGATGGGGGTGCAGTGCAGAGCCTGGTATGGGTGAGGAGGCAGGCAGCAGAGTTTTGAAACATTTAAACCTTGTTTATACTGGAACTGGGGAAACCGGGGAGGATTTCATTGGAAAAATCAAGGTGGGAGGTGACAAAAGCATCAATGAGGGTTTCAGTAGCGTTTGAAGTAAGACAGGGTGCAGGAAGGCAATTGGCGGAGGTGGAGGAAGGCAGTCCTAACTAAGATCTGGATGAGGGCTAGGCAGGATAACTGGGGATCGATCCTAAGCCAATGTTGCATACAGGTTCAGTGAATCTGAGAGATAGGCAGGGAAGATTAAGGAATTCAGAACCAAAGGTGAGAAGATATTGACAGGAGCCAAGGAGGATGGTTTCAGTCTTGTCCATGTTCAGCTGCAGAAGGTTGCCGTTCATCCAGGCTTTGATGTCAAACAAGCAGGCAGTCAGAACATCGATAGGACTGGGATCGCGACTTGAGAAGGAAAAGTAGACTTCAGTAACATCTGCATACACGTGGAAGTGTGCAGATGATATCACCAAGAGAGTACACCACAGGTGACTGTGTGGGGGCGGGAGGAGAAATGATCCTCTCCTCAATATTCCCCAAATGCCAATTTATTGCCAAAAACAAAGATTGAATGATCCAGAGAAATGAACATGTGGCATTACAAAATAAAATCATTTGGGCCAAGATCCAATCTCCATGAATCATAATAATAATAATGCTTACATTTGGAATAATGCATTTTGCATTAGGAGGACATCCCAAAGTGCTTCACAGTATATGTATTATTAAATGTAGTGACTGTGTTTTGTGGACAAAAGTAGCAGCAAATTTGCAGACAGCAGAACCCCATAATCAGGTATGAAACAAATCAGTTTTATTTAGGGGAATGCTGGCCAGAATATGGGGAGAAATTCCTTTCTCTGAACAAACAGCCATGGATTAATGTCTCATCTCCAACAACGGGGCAGACCCACAGCACTGCATTGGAGTGTCGGCCTGGACTTTATGAGTTCAAAATTCTGACATGGGATGTGAACCCATAACTTTCTGACTCCGAAGCGAGAGTGCTACCAACTGCACCAGCCTGACACATCAAAGAGACGGTGCAACCATTGAACTGTATGGTAAAGATTGTCAACACAATTGTCTAAGAGTTCCTATGTTATGACTGTAATGGGAAATACCATTTGTAAAAAAAAATTAAGTTCTGATGGGAATGAGTCATTCAGTAAGGAATGTGGGAATTACAACAACAACAACTTGCATTTATATAGCGCCCTTCACGTGGGGTAGACTCCCAGAGAGCTTCACAGTGGTGGAGTCTGACAGTCTGAATTACTGCTCCAGCGAGGAATACGGGAATTACTGTTCGAGTAAGGAATTTGGGGGAGCTAAATCTGCCAAGGGATCAAGCATGTGGTGAAGTCGATCAAGGGTGCTTTAAGCTTGCAGGAACCACTTTGATGAGTTTCAAAGTGAAGCTAATGATGCAGGAGGATGATTAGAGATGCTATTCAGCATGATTGGAATCTGACATTTCCTTAAAAAGGTTCCTGGAATTTGGAAATGTTTGACACAGAGCTCATCATAGCTCCCCCAGGGCCCTTCACTGTGAGCTACCGGCAGGAATTGGTAGCGGGGAAAGTGGTAGAAATGCTTGCAGGGAGTAAATATATAATAGTATATTTTTTGATGTACGATTTGCGCTAAGTTTCGCCTGAGGTGCGGGGAGGAAGTGAATGGGGGAGGGTTGCAGCAGCTATTGCTCCTGTACACAGATCTCAGCTTCTCTTAATCTTGAGCCCTGCCTTATAGTGTCTGTCAGCGTTGAGAGGGATCCCTGAAGAGCAGAAATCAAATATCTGGCCCAAATTAACTGGGCAACACAGGGAGGGGGAAGGGGTCCTTTAAATAGCCTGCCGTAGACTGCGGTATTGTTAACTTTGTTTACTAATTGCCACTATTCGGCAAAAAATATATAAATATAATAATTTGGTCCCTCAAGCCATGACTGTTTGTGGGACACTGCTGTGTGCAATTGGCTGCCCCATTAAGTCGGGGCAAAATATGCAGTCGATTCATTTTATAATATATTCCGTGAAGCACTTTGTGGCATCTCGAAGACGTACTAAGGCGCTATAAGAAATGCAAAGATTATTATATGATTGTTATTTTATAAGTGAGCAGTTTTCAGTGCTCAGTCTGTTTCATGAAACGTTGGACTTTGACATAAGGCGGGAGGGGTGGTGGGGGGAGGGGGTTCTGCCCAGGGCATAGATGCGGTGCAGAGGTAATGTAATGAGGATGATCCCCAGTGTTCGAGGAACGAGCTAACAGAAATGACTGGATAAGTTAGAGCTCTTCAGTTTTGAAAAGAGATGGCTCAGAGGGGATTTTTCAGAAGTATATAAGAATCAAAATGGGATTGGGAAGTAAATCCAGAAAAATACTTTCAGATGCGCCAAAATATCAGGGTAAGAGCACAGAGGTTTAGGGTTGTAATTGGCAATATTAGGACAAACATTTATTTGCCAGAGGGTAACTAATAGGTGGAAGAGTGGCTGAGGCCAGGACTCTGGACACACTTAAGAAATAGCTTGTAATGGAGCTTGTAATGATGTAATGGGAGTGTGGGGGTGGAAGGATGAGATGAGAAGGATTTTTCATCTGAACATCCCTCAAATGTGAATATTATGAACTACATTGGAGTTTCCCCAGACAAACTCCAGGGAGCCACCTCAGGGCAATGTTATACAAAGGAGTGCGTTGTGAAGCAATGATCTACTCTAGCGTATAATATTTTTCTGTCCATTCCCTCACTGGAGCTGCCTACTGCGATCAGATTAGCCCATTTCTTTCTTTTCCCCCAATACTATTTGATGAGGTCTAATTTATGGTGTTTTATAAAAAGATTCCTTAATAAGGAATCGAGTAGAGTAAACTGGGATTTCTTCACTGTGTGTGACAATGTGTCAGGCCGATTGTCAGGAACTCCGCTCCGATTTGATGTAGGTCTGGAATTCTTTATTAAGGAGTTAATTCTATTAACAAATATCGCAAACTAGATGCATTGACGAAGCCTAAATAGCCTCTTGTGATGACATGTTCTGCATCTGATAAACCTATATGTTGCGCGCTTGAGGTCAATACTGAACCTTTGCCATATTTGGCATCCCAGAGGAAAAACCGTGGGCCTGGATAGCTCAAGCAGGGAAAGGGTTGTAAGGTGGGCATTGTTATACCTCTGATTCGTCTTGTGTTCAAGTCGGTGTAGATCAGGTATGATACATAGCAAAATCTTTTATCCTCCATGTGCTGGGTTATTTTCCATCGTGCAATATCTCAAAGCTTTAGCACTTTAACCCAACACTTGTCAATGGAGTGCTATTTGTAAGAGGAAAGCCAATTTCTAGAGCAAAGCAGATGTATGCCTTTGGATAGAAGTTATTAACAAGAATGTGTTGTGTTTGCAGTCCACAGATTATTCCGCCATGGGACCACTGACGGGTGGACTGGAAGATATGAAGTCAAACTTAAATCCTGCAGCGGTTGATATAGGGACCAGCGTCTCAGTTCCTCATTCTTATCCCATTGTAACAGGTAAGGGGGTATAGCCATTGGTATTATGTGTGTGTGTATTGTCGTTGCCATTCTGCCATGCTAATGGACTTGTGAAATACTGACGAGTATTACAACAGACCAAAGCTAATGTTGAAGAAAGATATTCAAGAACTGGCCAGAGTGCAATAGCAATAGTGTGAAATGCAGTCATTGCACCTTGTCTCCAGTGTGCAGTCGCTTTCACCACGAAAACCATTTAGAGGCTGGTGTTGTGAAGGGTTGGCAGGTTTTTCGTTCGTTCTCCCTAGCTTTGGTGGGGGAGCAACAGTTCCTTGGATTTATTTAAACAGAATTCATTGCCTAAAACTTCGGCTTTCTCGCAGAAAAAAAGCTGCTCAAAGAAGGAGGAATGAGTAGAGAGAGTTAAGCAAAGGATGTATAATGAGCTACTCTGTCATTCCTGCACCCACGCCCATGCTACTATTTAACCATGCTGGTGGGAGGGACAGAGCAACAACAGAGACTAAGCAGGTACTGGATGTATGCTACATGTGAGAGATCCTTTAAAACCAAACGCGCAGCCCCAGGTGGAGGAGCAAGCAAAGATGAAAAGAGAAGAGAAGATGGGAAACATCAAGGAGTAGTGACCCAAAAACTTGGGTTTGGAGTAGATTGTCACAGGAAGGCTGAGGGAGGTAAGTAGTCTAACAGTCATGACATTAGCAAATCTACATTCAGTATTGCTGTAGCTTAAATACCTGTACTAGAAAAACGAGCGCACGGGCATTGCACAGAGGAAATGTAAAAGAGTGTGGATGTACTAATATCTTTAAGGTGAAAAGTGGCAGACAAAGGTCTGAAAAGATTTACAAAATGTGCCTGGGAGATAAAACCTTGACTCAGTATAAACAATACTGGACGGTTCTGTATTTTGAATCAATGTATTTTTAAAATGGTTGAGTATATAAACTAGATTTTAAAAATACATTGATTCGAAATACATGATGTGCAAAGTGCACTGGGCAACACATGGTTGACAATCCCTTGGATTGGGTTTCCGTATAGAATTGATGACCTGATAATCTGTCTTCAATGCCTCAAAGATTTTTCACGCGTTCTTTACAACGCCTGTGTGTAGAGGGATGCTGCTGCTAATTTAAATGACTCAGTGTAGAAGTGAATTCATTTGGGATTGCGGTCAGGCTGGGCATTGGAGTCTAAGGAGTGGCTGGCTTGGAATAATAATAATAATCCTTGCATTTGGTATCGCGTCTTTCATATCAGGAGGGCGTCCCAAAATGCTTCACAGGATTTACCGTGAACAACTACAACAAAATTACATTTGTAAAGCGCCTTTCACGGCGGGAGGATGTCCCAAGGCGCTGAATAGTCAGGGATCAGGACCCGAGCGTGGGGGTGGGGTGGGGACAGGGTTGGGATGAGGGAGGGCAGAGTGATACGAGGGCGGCTGACCAATTTTATTTGGGGTCTTGTTGGGTAGAAGACTGGGAGCACCTCCCTTCTCTTTTCAACTAATGCAATGGGATATTTAACGCCCACCTGAATAGACATACGAGACCTCGGTTTAGTATCTCATCCGAAGGCACCCCTGACAATGCAACCCCCACCCCACCGCGCCCCTCCCAGCACTGACTATTTGAGTTCAAGCCTCGACATGGGGCTTGAACCCGTATCCTTCTGACTCAGAGGCGAGAATAGCTGGTCTGTCAAGATGCACTGACATATTTTCCACTGACTGCCAAAATAACAATGGCTATAGTTTTTTAATTGGGGAATCCCGTAGAATAACCCCGCAATGTTTAAGTTTCACTGTGACTGAAGGGGAATAAACATGAAAAAATTATGATTATTAGCACGCGAGATAATGATTTACGACATTTGTTATGAAGTTGCAAAATGCTGCATAGTCATAGTTGTAAAATGCTGTATGTTCGTCAGCCATAATTACTACAGCTATGACCTATAACAGCTGTCCTGTGATTTTTGGCGCGGAAATCCCAAGCAGTTAATTATAAACATGCCAATGACATAGATACATGTAAAATAGCATGGTTTGGGTCATATGCAGGGGATTGAGTATATTATTCTTTCTTACAAGCGCTCCGGGACTCTACCCCGTGTGAGGGACGCTATATAAATATAGCAATTTGTTGTTGTTATAGTTTTCGCATGGTAAGATTCTTTTATTGGGCGACCCTGTTGTTAAACATTGCGTTCTAACAGTGCCTCAGAACAAAATGGCTGCTGGTTCTGCATCCAGTTGTCAGGTCACCGCTGACATCGCTTCTCGTGCATTACGAGAGGCGTGCAGGACATTACACCCGTGACTTCCTGTGGAAAACATGTATGGGAAGCGGCGGTTGCAATCATCTGATGACCCGAAAAGTAACCATCTTCTGTGTCGGAAGCCATGTATCCTGCGCAAAGGTATAGAATGGTTTCAGAGGAGTGGTGGCCAACCCATGGCCCATGGGGGTGGGGTTGTGCGTGAGTCTGTCAAGAAGTGACCCACCGCAAATTCACACTAGTCTACGCAAATCTGTGTTAAATCAATATTTTGGCTCCAGTAGCTGCTGAGTGACAATATTAATGGCGTTGCCATCAGTCAAGAATTATTCAATCAAACAGGATCGTCTATATATCATCTCTTTTTGTAAATAAAAGTGCAAAAAATGTGTGAGGTTATCACATATCAAACGATATTAGCTGAATAATTCATTTGTGTTACCACATTCCAACAATTTTAGAAGATTTATTTTTTTCCCCTCACATCTTGTCGAGGTTGATTTCCTAATCTCCCTTTGTGGGGTATGTTCAGCATGTTACAATCTCTTCTTGGCCTCATCACAACATACATCCCTCTTCCTCAGTCAAGTAATGTTGTGCATATACGTGTTGCTTGGCTATTAGTACGTTGATAATAATAATCCTTGCATTTGATATAGCGCCTTATCATGTCTTCAAGATGTCTCAAAGCGCTTCACAGATATTTTGATAGACTCAAATATTGCTTTGTACATGGTTAAATGGTTAATCTTGGAAATGAGTCTCTCTCTCCAACCTGGCTGCTGTTTTCACTTTACATCTGAAAAAGAAGGCTCGTTCCAGCTCGAGTGAAATGAGAGAAACAGGAACAATTGAATTTCAACAACTTGTAGGTCGTGCTGCAGTTCATAAGCTTTGCTTCCATTTGCAAGCCAATGACATAGCCATGCTGTGTAAGTGCTGCAGTCAGCAGTCTCAAAGGCTCTTGATTGTTACTAATTACCAGCAGATACAGTTCCCTGGCTCGGCTTGCTGACTTCAGCTAAGTCCCATCAGTTTGAAAGGACAAAGTGACAATGAAATTGACACTTCAGCAGTGTTCTCCAATATAGCGCAAGGGAGATTGACAAACCCGCAGCCAGCTTCCAGTTTAACTGGCCCATGAGTCAGTTTGCATTAAGAACTTAGGAGCGAACAGATCAAACTGTCGACTCGCCGCTCAGGAGCGTATAGGAGAACGTTCTGAGCCTAGTGAAATCTGACATAAGACTTCTGTGGCTTTGGGGGGAAAAAAAACGGTATTCTATACCTAGATGTTCTTTAACGTTGGGAATGCTGGAATGGTTTATCAATCTATTACTTTGATAGGTTGTATGCAGGAGCTGACTGCAGTCCTGCACAACTGAGTTACTATAATAATATAATAATATAATAATAATCCTTGCATTTGATATAGCGCCTTATCGTGTAATCGAGAAATCTCAAAAAACTTCGCAGAATATACTGTAAAGCGGAGTGACTGTGGGCGAAACTACAACGTGAAGTCATTGAATATGAATGCTGTGCTTATCTGCATTAGTGCGCCAAGTACAATATGGTGTAAAGAATGCAATGCTTCATAACAGATTTGAGGATTGTGTGACAGTCTGGCTGCATTGGTACCACAGTCACTTCTGAGCCAGAAGGTTGTGTGGGTTCTAGCCCCACATCGGGACTTATAGCTCACGTAACCTGGCTGACACCCCAAAAATACATTGCTGGGTGTGAGCTGCATTGTTGGAGGTACCGTCCTTCAGATAAGACATTAACTGAGGTCGCAATCTGCCGCCTGAGCTTAAAAGATCCCATGCACTCACTCTTCAGAAAGATGAGGGAGCTTCTCCTGGTGTCCTGCCCAAATAAAAATTGGTCACTCATTGTGTGTGGGACACTGACCCCCTGCATCACCAATAGAATATGCAGTCACTACACTTTACAATGAATCCTGTGAAGTGCTTTGAGATGTTTTCCCGAAATGAAAGATGGTATATCAAGTGTAAGGATTATCATTATTATTTAAATGTCATCAAATCTGTTGCTGATCAAATCTGTTATTCATATTGGTGGATTTATTTTCCAGGGTGTAATAATCCCTTCCAAAATAATAATAATAATAACAATAATAATTTAGTCACTCAATCCATAACTGTTTGTAGGACACTGCTGTACATAATTGGCTGCCGTTGTTTTGTCCAAAAAATATACAGTCAATTCACTTTATAGTATATTCTGAGAAGCGCTTTGAGACGTCTCGAAGATGTTCGAAGGGAAAGAGTTCACACTAAGAAATTAATGGCAAAATGCAATGCTTCTTATCAAATTAATAACATATTTAATAATTATTAAATCTCATGACACAATGCATTTTTTTTTAACTCTTGTGTCGTTTTCTGCTCAGTTTACTGTTCATAGACATTGTTGATACTTTACTAGAAATGTACATTTTGTAGTTAGCCTGTTAGGGAATATTTCATTTCCTGAGTCATTTACTGATTCCTGGGACCATACAGTTTTGTTAGCTGTGCATGCAGCGACTTAAAAGAAAATTTAATCATAAGTAATAAACAAAATGACTAAAATTCTACGTATTGTGATACGGTGTAATGTGTTAATCACTAAATAGCTGAATAGCATAGACCAGAAAGGCCCCAGGCTTTATTCCCTTGCATCTGTATTATACAATAGAATTTACATTTATAGAGTGCCATACATGT